TTGTTCACATAGTAAGAAAACTAGAGTGAAATAAGATGATAAGAAATGCTGGAGAAATCAGAGTGTAAACATTTAAGGACTTGAGTCCAAATGTCATATACTTATGCCACAAAGGAGAAAAAAATACAATTGATTAGACTATTTATTGCATTGATGAATGCTGGACTTTTATCAGGCTTTGTTAAAGCAAAGGTCAATATAATTTTTGTGGAAAAATATAATTGAAAGGTAATATGAAACTTTCCATGAACTTTTATTTATTTATTTATTTTTTTGTCTTTTTGTCTTTTTCCGTGACTGGCAACAGATTGCAACCCTCAGTGTTGCCCCCGTACCAGACTGGGGACCGGCAACGGGATTGCAACCCTCGGTGTTGCCCCCGCGCCTCGCTCAGCCAGTGAGCGGGAACCGGTCTGTATGTGGGATCCGAACCCTCGGGCGGGAGTGCCACTGCACTTCCCAAGCGGCGTACTTATCCAGTGCGCCACCGGGCCGGCCCTTTCCATGAACTTTTTGAAGATCCCTTGTATTTACCCCATTTGGCAAAGACTTGCTCATTAAGGGAAAACATAGTTCCCCAAATTTAATATTTTTGTAAGTGTATCAAGTATATAACTATTGACATATGCTTTTGATCCCATTCCTTCTCAATTTTTCTCAATACTTGCACCTCAATTACATACCCCTACTACATAATGATTTTAACATCTTTCTGTGTTTATGTTTCTGCCTAAAGGAAGTTAACCTTTCTTCCTGTCTGTTTTATAAATGTTACCTTTGTAATCCTCAACAACTCTAAATTCTCCATCTGGCAAAATTAGGATTCAAACTAAAATCTCCTTTCTGTTGTAGAATATTACTTTTCACAGATTTAAAAAAAAAAAAAAATACCTCCATTTTCCACTGTTGCTTCTTGTTCTGTCTCTCTTTCTTAAATACTCACTTCCAAACATGACCCATTTATCTATGGCTTTCCTTTCTCTTTCACCTGCCCATGCCTGTAGTATGCCCTCCCATTCTCTCTTGAAACTGCCTTCTCCAAGGTTACCTGCTAATTGCCTAAATCCTGGCTTTTCTAAGTTTTTCTTCATATACTTGATGTTATAGGCAGTGGGAAGTAACAGAAAAGGGATGTCTTCAGTGACATGCTGTTAAATGTTTAATAACCAGCTCTCCAAGGGGGAAAAGCCTTAGAGTTTTTGTGAACTTTCATGGTGTAAATACTCCCAGCATGTATGATTTAACTTTCAATGTGATGTCACTGAATGTATACTTGGGAAAATATATGTATGAATAAACAGCTCTAGCGAGCTTGTGTGCATTCATGGTGTAAATACTCCCAGCATGTATGATTTAACTTTCAATGTGATGTCACTGAATGTAGACTTGGGAAAATATATGTATGAATAACCAGCTCTAGCGAGCTTGTGTGCGTTGGCTCTAGGGAGCCACCGGATGTCCTTTTGGGGATGCTTTTAATCCTTGGCTTTTGCAACATGAAACGACCTTTATTTTCTATCACTCTGGTTCCAGCTTCTTTCCATTCTTTTACTGTTTCTATTTTTTACTTGTAGCCACTAATTGTGGACTTAGTTGTGGGTTAAATTTTTCATCCCCTTGTTCTCTTTTCTGGTGCTTTTCCTATTCTCATACTTTTCTCCATTACTGTAGAATGAGTGATGCTAAACCTTTGACTATTCCCTCGAGGTCATCTCCCCATTCCAATTTCTTATCAGGTACATACCCTCCTTTACTTCACACTCAGTGGGGTTAAAACTAGGCTCTTTATCTTGCCCCCACCAAAAAGTACCCACCTTTTCCCATAACCTATTTAAAAGTATCAAGTGCAACCTATACAGCAGACACATCATGTGGTGCTTTAGACACAAGACTTTGGAATTACTATCTATATTTCATAGATTTGAAAAGTTCAAAGCTCAGAAAACTTGATCAGTTTACTCAAACTGACCCATCCAATAGGCAATGGAACTCACATGTGAAGACCCTAACACCAAAACCCATCTTTCTTTCCATTGCAGGGTTGTGCTTCTAAGTCAATGAAATGATGATTTTTTTTCTTACACTGATTTGAAACATGCAAGTAATTTTTGAGTTTTTCCTAATTGCTATTAATTATCACAACCTGTCTACTCATCCAGTGCTCTAGTGTTTGTGTGTCTCCCTTCTATGCTATAAGCTTCTAAAAAGCAAGATCCCTGCTATATTAATTAGTTTATTTCTTGCTGTAAAAAATTCCTCATAGTGGTAGGTACTCAAGAAATCTTGATTTAATAAGTGAAAAAATGAAATAATTAATTAGTTATCAATGATGTATTTTGAATACTTTCATTGTATTTGTGCTACAATAGTGTTTCTCTATCATCATCATCTCTATGATCTATAAAATCATTGACAGCCACCAATGATTTTATAAATAAAATATAGTGGATCAAATTTTGCACCAAAGGAATATTCAGGTTTAGTTTGCTGCAATGAGGAACAAAAATCATATGCAAAATATGCTCATATCTTAGTAAAAATCATAAATTTTACCAATGCCATGTGTTTTCAGCCCAAAGCTATCATACCCATTTCTAGTAAGATTTCAATTTAGATTCTAGAGAATCTTAAATGAGTTTAGAGCAATATACTTCCTTGCATTTCTTTCTAATTCAGGAGACTCCTGGGAATTCTCTTTACACTTTTAGAAGTCTTAATTAGGGCCCAGGACTGAGCAATGTATTCACATTTCTCTGAATTGCAAGAGCTGGCTGCACTGTTCTTCGATCAGTATTAATTGCTAAATGTGAGGGGGTTCTGTAACACTCTGCATAAATGTGTGAACAGCTACGTCATTGATCTCTCCTGATCCTGTAGTCTCTAATTTCTGCATGCATGGTGTATTTCTTGCCCCCAACAGCACCAAGAAGCTGCATCATAATTGAGTGTGCCTCAGGGATTTTCTATACATAGCAATTCACAGTGCTGTCACAAGATAGATGACAAAGAGCATTTCTACCCAGGAAAGTCAGTGGGACCAGTTTGTCTGCTTCTGACTAAAAAGGTACTTGAATCTGCAGAGTACTGAACAACCCCAAAACTGCCCATTTGGCAATTCTTAAAAGACATCTGTTTTCTGTGATACTGTATGCTAATCTACTATGTCATCACCTTGTTACTTAAATGCTCTCAGTTGTTTATCATAAAATATCTCCAAGTACTTCTCTTATCAGAATCAATCACTAAAGGACTTAGAACAGTCTTAGAAGTCTTTAGGTGTAAACACCATTATTTTAAACAATATATAACAAACTGAAAAATAACATGCCAGCTAGTTGAGCATCAAGGACTTTTACATGAATGCAACATAGAATATAGATCCCAGAGCTTTTACAGAAGGTTAGGATATACCCACTACAGAATAATCTATTTGTTTAGTGCTTCTTTGCATCTGATATGTGACAGCCAAGATTGAGTCTGACAAAAAGGTTCTATTAATGTGTTTCAACTCATCTTCCATTGCTGAGCTACTAGTGGCAACCTGTACTTTGTGATATTTGGTTTCAATGTAAATTTTCAGAAAAATAGATGAGAGGACACTTCATTCATTTTCTATCTGTGATACAAGATATAGTTCTTTATGATTCTGGTTGGTGAGGGTAAAGCTTATATACAAAAATCCAACATGATTTCTGTTACTGCACCATGTAATATAACTTCAATAATTATCTTTCATTTGATTCCTTGCAGAATAAAGCTTCATCAAGAGAGGTGAGGTTATGGTGTTCATGGCTCCCCAAGAATACCAATTAGGACAAATAGCATCATATTAGCCTTTGAGCCTTTTATGTGGATTGAATAGGAACATTATGAAACTCCTTATTTAGTTCTTCAGTTCTTTTAACTTCAATTGTAGACTATATGGGGATATTGACAGAGGGTGAAAAATTATATCCCAAGGCCCTACTTCATGTAATATTACTGTTAACGGAGTCGCTATTTTAAGAAGTCAATTCTGTATAATATTTAGCTCAAGAATCTGTGTTCTTACATTTTGCAAGTGATAGAACCACAACTGAATTCATGGAGTGAGCCCAAATAAGTAGCATGTAATATTTTACATTCCAAATATTCCAATTATAAGAACATGGTTCATTTTGTTGTTTTCCTAGAGAAAATTTATCTTAAGCTGTGTGTGTGTGTGTGTGTGTGTGTGTGTGTGTGTGTGTTTGTATTCTACAATTTGTCTTATTTGGTCTGCCTTTGTCTCTATTCTCTCTGAGCCTAGTTGCCTTGGTTACCATTACATACTCTTGTATGTGGAGATCTGTTTGACGTACATTTATTTCTATGGAAACAATGACATCATTGACATGGGTAGATGCTTAGGGAAAGCAACATGAAGTACTGAATATTGATTTTTTTTTTTTGGTCATAAATGTATCATTAAAGTAATTTTTCAAGTTAAAGAGCTATATGTTTGCTTTCATTTTGACTTGATCATAAAACTACATTTTACATCGTTGATAGACTTGCTTGAGCAAAATGATTTAAAGTGTTAAATATACTACATAGGCCCTTATTATGATATATAGTGTTATAAAACTCACCACAGGTAACAATAAAAGTTATTACTTTAACCTTACAAGCCTCTCAGAGAGTGAAAAGCTTATCTCAATAACATTTATCACCAAAAAAATTGTGCAAGGAATGTTATACTCACATCAAGGCAATGAGCAATGTATAGATGATGGATCAGGAAAAAAACAAAGACCACTTGTAGTAATTGTTTTTAAAATCTCTAGTTTTAGAAACATAGACATATAACAGAGAACAGGTAGTTATTAAAACATCTTTTCAATGCCATTAAATAAGTCCAAGAAGGGTTGGTATCCCATTTTCTTTTAAGTCTTAAGAGGCTTTTAAATCTTTTGTTAAAACATCTATTTCACTCCCTGTTCTACTTCCACACTACTACAGTCTAACTTTTTTTTTTATAGATGATGTGGAAACCTGCCTATGATTTTCTGTATACTTGGAGTGCTCACTACGGAAACAGCTACAGAGATGTGTTACAAGACCTTCAATCGGCTTTGGACAGAATGAAAAACCCTGTGACCAAACAGTGGCGAGACTTAACTGGAGCTTTAATACTAGTAAATTCTTTGGAGGTTTTGAGAGTAACTGCATTCACCACTTCTAAGGAAGTATAGAAATGAAGGGTGTGTTTTTTTGGGGGAGGGAGAAGAGTAGGGGGAGAATGAGTGTGTGTGTGTGTGTGTGTGTGTGTGTGTGTGTGTGTGTGTGTGTAAGAGGGAAAGAATTTCAGAATTCTTTTGTAAAAAATGAATATTGTACTACTATTCTTCACATTTGAAAAGGTATTTTGTCCTGGTGAAAACAGCCTCATGATATCCAAGGATGGGTTTTATAATCAAACACGTAGTTTTGAGTATGTTTCAAATGAAAATTTTAGGCTGCTTTGTTGTAGAGAAAGAAAAGAAAAGCCCTTTTGAAATTACTCTTTCAAAGTTACTTTTAATTTCCTAAGTGAAAACAAATGACTGTTAGCATAATGACATCACACAGATACCTGGATAAACAAGAGGCTCTCAATATGAATAACTGGAGTTTTACCAGGAGACAGGTGGGAAGAGAAAAGCAGCAAACACACCTTGAGGCCAATCACAGGACTACATGCTTTCTAGACCTGATCTTTTATTCCTCAGTGGAGTTGCCAGCGTTACTCCTATTTTTCATGTAGAGAAACCAAGGACTGGAGAAGATGCCCAAGTAGAGTAGGTTTTCTGTTTGATTTAATAAGTGAAAAAAATTTTTTTTAATCATTCTACATAGCAGATGAGCAAAAAATGAAAATGCACATTAAAACTTACAGGGGAATGGTAGCTATTTCCTTTTAATTGAAGCTTGCTGCTCTTTTTTATCATCACTTGAAAGACTGCCAGAAGGAAAATACGACTTATCATCAGAAATTTGTTGTCTTCGTACCAGGACCTATTGTTTTTACCAGCTTTCTTCAGCATTTCAGGAACTATCTAATCCTTCTGAACTTGGACTTTTTCTGCAGGATCATAATGCAAAGTAGTTCTTTAGCTCTCAGGGATTTTTAACAAAAAGAGTTATTAAAAATGACAACAACCCAAAATCTTATTTATCACTGTTGGGTACAACAGTCTTAACCACCAAAAACACTGTTATCTTTGTGTGTGCACACTCATGCAAACACGTGTTTGTGTGTGTGTGTGTGTGTATACCAGAGTATTTTATAAAGCTTTTAGAAGACAAGGATTATATATGAACTTGGGCCAGTATAAATGATAATGGCTGGCAGAGAGTCACAAAGAGATGGTCTCTGCTTTCTCATATGTCCAATCCTCTGATTGCCCGCCAGGGCTTATGTGTGTGTTTAAACAGTCATTCATTTATTGTTATTCAGTCCACAGATAGAGTATGTGTACCTATTCTGTTGCAGGCACATAGGTACTTAAAGTTAATAATGGGGAAAAAACAACATGAACTCTGACTTCAGTACTGCTAGGTGATAGAGACAGACAATAAAAATGACACTATTAAATGTAAAATGGCATCTGTAATGACAGCTGCAATGGAGAGTTTGTGATGGTAAGAGATGTAGACAAAGATGGGCCATCATGTGAAGGTGTGGGGTTGAGGAAGTTTTCCCTGGGAAAGAAATGATGAGCCTGAAGGAGCATCAGGCATTGTCTCTGGGCTGGGGAAGGTATGCGAAGTATTCCCACAGAGTTCTGAAGCCCTCAGCCTGGATGGAACTCCGGAGAGGCAAGAACCTGGGTGAAGGAGTGAAGGGCAAAGGTGAAGAGGAGAAAGGTAAAAGGGTGAGGTGAGGACAAAGTGGGAAGAGGCCACATTAGGGTCATTAAGGCCACTAGACTTTTAGAAGGGAAGACACACCCTCAAAGGTAATACGGATGAGCTGAATAAAGGATTTGTTTTTCTCAGGATTCTGAATAAAACATGTCCATTTGGCTAAAAACTAAAAGCGGAATCTTCTTAGAGCTTTTAATATATGCACCCTGGGGTATTTGGTATGCTGGTAACAGTAATTTGAATTAGGGTTTAAGAACAATCTTTAAAGCTTCAATATTTATATTTGATGATAACAGAACACAGTCTGACCAAGAAGTTATGTACACACATTGAAGGACAGAATTTATTTTAATTGAAAATAAATTCAGGCACAAGGAAAAAAAAAACTTGTAAGTTCAGAACACAATCATTTCTAGTAGTGTTTTTGCTTTCTTTAGAACATTCTTGGAAACTTATTAACATGTCAGCAATCGAGAGAATTTCGGGAAGGGATAGTGAGGAATTAATAACTGGGTTTTTCCAGACTCTAAGATTTGAGAAGACAGAGATCTTGTTAGCTGATTAGTGTATTAAAATTAAATAAATCATTTCAGGTTTACACTGCATCATGTATTGTGATTGTGGTTGGGAATTTTAAGAAGAGTTTAACAAATGAAAAACATGATCTCAGTAATTTAAGGATAAAAGAATGGTTTAAATATTAATACATAAAGATATTTTATAATCTTGTAACAAATCCTTCCAGAAGAATTTTAAACTCATGTCCAAATATTCTGTTCTTATATATTATAATGTTTTTATAAATTGTTTCTACTTTTCTGAATTTTATATTTGTTCTCACTATAATGGATTTTCATAATCAGAAAAGATTAACTTAGTAATCATGAATTGTCTTCAACATTTGGCAGCAAGTCAATGAAATTAATAAGGCACTTACATCTCATCATTGACATCATTAAAAGCACCAAAAGCCATTATTTTAAAACTTCTTTAAGCATTTTGAAGTGGAAAAAGCTTAGATCGTTTTTCCAGTTCCTGTGGCTCTTCATCTAACGATGCATGAATTAGGATGAGATTTTAGTTTAGTGCCCGCTTGCAGCGTAACAATTTTTCTACGTAAGCCTCTACTTCCTTCTGTTAGAGACTCTATATAAAACAATTAAGGAGATGCATTCAGTAGTGTGTCATTACCTGCTCATACTAATAATGGATATAGCATACTTTCACGTTCTGCAATGTAGAAAATACTATATAAAGTTTCAACTTGATTACTAGGTTTCTGGGAGGAACAGAATGCTAAGTCAATGGGTGGCACTGAGCTGAGAAATGCTGATGCTAGTGAACAGCTTTGAATATGTGACACAAACACACAGAAGAGAAAATACACTCAAAATTATACAATGCTATAATTGAAAGTTTCAGAACTTGAATTCTCATAATGAGCTATTGTAATTTTTTTTATTTTTGTAATTTTTAATGCCTAAAGAACATCTGAGGTAATAGAAAAGGAGAATTATGTCACTGGAGGCTTTTTAAATTAAAATAAATCTTTTTCTTCTTATGCATACATAATTCCTTCCTCCTCCTTTCATATGAAGTTTTCCTTCATGTGCTGCACTGTGACTTAATGACAGTAAAGTTCCAAAGATCATGTCACCATTATGCTAGGTGGGATTATACAAAGACATTTTTAAGAATAAGTTGACATATTGAAGGTTGGTTTTTTGCATGCATAATTACCAGTCCACAACACAAAATAAACAGAGTCCAAGTATACACAGGAATCTTGAGTTTATACATATCTGATATGTATCTCATATTCAGCATCAAGATTTCATTGAATGTTGTGGAAATTTGTGGCTTTTGCATACATATTTTACATTGATTTTCTATTTATGTACATCGAGAAAATTTTAAGCCCAATAAACAGTATTGCAATTTTGAATAATAGTGTCAGTTCATATATAAGGGAATGTGAATGGAGATATTAGCACTGGATAATTAGTAATGCCAAAGGAGAAAATTCCAGAGCAAGTACTGCTCTTGCCGTAATGAGTACAACAAATGGCTTCCTCAGCAAGACTCTAGTTCTGGAGTTGAGAGCTGTGGCTTCTAGTCCTTGCTCATTAGTCCTGAGGAGACTTTGGAGCTGTCATTTGGCCTCCCTGGGCCTCAGTTTTTTCATCGAGAAGATGAGGAGCTTGAACTGGCTAACCTCTAAAGTTCCCTTGAGGTTTAAATGACTGTGAATGTATAAGTAGAATATATTGTGTTTTTATTAGTTTGCTATAAGGGAAGAGAATGTGAATTAAGAGTAATAATTTGAATACCAATTATGCACATTAAAATAATGTTCCCTATACATCAGGCATAGCACATATAGCACACTAAGCACTTTACAGATATTATCTCATTTACTCTTTACATAATCTTATGAAACTTATTATGTAATATGCAGTATTTTGAATAGTTGGAAACCAGCAACTATTCGAAACAAACTAGAGAATGGCATTTGAGTACTGAGTTAGGAGGTCTGCAATGGTTTTACCTGGAGCTTCTCAGTGAACACTATCAAATATGTTCCAGTCTCATTGCAAAGACCTCAGACCAGGCAATCTTTACAGCAGTGGTTCTCCAACTTCAGAATCACATGGAAAGCTTGCTGGAACAGACTTCTGGGTTCTACCACTAGAGTTTCTGATTCAGCAGGTCTGGACTATGACTCTATAATTTGCATTTCTAATAAGTTCTCAGGTGATGCAGATATTACTGGTCCAAAGACTCCCACTCTGAGAACCACTGCATTCAAATATCCTTCATCTATACAGAAACAGGAGAATCTCTGTTAAACTAAAAAAAATTTACTTTTAGACAAACAAAATTAGAGAAAACATTTTTTAAATGAGAAAAAACCCCAAATCACTTTAATTATACTTCCATGAGTTAATAAGAGACTGGAAAATGATAATTTTGATTGTAAAACAAATTAAAATAACTAAGATCTCTGTATCTTATTTCAGGTGTAAACATATTTGAATTAAAAAAAATTACCAATAATGTGGGACATTTATTCAGTATGTTAAGATAATTTTGCAAAATATAGATAATGGGCACTTGTTTCTGTAAAATATTTTTTGGAGGAAGTTTTGCTTTTACTGCCCTGTCATTTGTTAAACTTTCTTGTTGAATTTATTTTTCTCCACTGAAAGAGTGTTTTTAACCTATGTGATTAAATACAACTATCTATAGGCCTAACTTTCATTGTAGAATTACAAAGTGATTATGAGCATTTACTAATAGTGTGACCAGATGTTTTCTTTCCAATGAGCAGTTCCACATTTAAAGAGACAATGACTGAGAAACGGGACTGGTGGAG